CTCTGGCAGCTCTGCAGGTTGTCCCTGAACCCTTCCGCAGTTTTGCCAACACCCTAGTGGATATTTGTGCATATGCAGGTTAGTCTTTTAGACTTACCACACACCTACTGCAGACCTATGTACTGTGTTAGTTATATTTCTCTGCTATAATTTCCTCCTCTTCTGTCCAGGATCTGGTAATGTGCTAAAGGTGCAACAGCTTCTCCACATCTGCAGTGAGCATTATGAAGCCAAGGAGAAGGAAAAAGAGGAGGACAAAGATAAGAAGGACAAGAAGGACAAAGACAAGAAGGAGACTGCTGCTGACATGGGCTCCCACCAAGTAAGGACAGACTTGTAGTCCTTATAATCATACATCAGTTCTTTTTATTTATCTGTTTTCCTACATGGGTAGAAGGAAAAAAAAAAACCTTGAATACTTTGTTTACTCCATCAGGGTGTGGCTGTTCTTGGCATTGCCCTTATTGCCATGGGAGAGGAGATTGGCTCAGAGATGGCGCTGCGAACATTTGGACACCTGGTCAGTTACACTACTTTACTGGCAGTGAATCTTTTCAGTTTCATTGCTGAATGCTTTGTTGCCTTATCTCACCATCTCTGTGAGAAAAATCCATGTTTTCTCAAAAATGAAGTCAGCACTGACTTCTGTTCTGCATTTGATTCTTCTCCCTCACATCACTCCTCCTTCTCCTTCTTATTCTTAAAGAGTTCCTTTCTGTCATTTGTATACAAGGGTGCAGCAGCCTAAGTAGGCAATTCATATATTTAGAAACACATTTTTGTTCCTGTATATTCCTGATTTATGCTGTCATGATCTTTCATTTTCTTTCTTTGCATTTTATCAGCTGCGTTACGGTGAGCCCACCCTGAGGCGAGCGGTGCCCCTGGCCCTTGCGCTCATTTCTGTGTCTAACCCGCGTCTGAACATCTTGGACACCCTCAGCAAGTTTTCCCATGATGCTGACCCCGAGGTCTCCCACAACTCCATCTTTGCCATGGGCATGGTGGGCAGTGGTAAGTTTAGGAACAATATGAAATCATGAAAACTAACAATGGTTGCCATTATACAGTACTTTGCTAAAATATTGAGCCGCCCCTCATTTCTTGATATTTCGCTTCCAAAGAAACTTTAAAATGATCTTGAGCAATAGTTCTCCAGCTTTCTGAAGAGTTTTCTTTGGCCATTGGCTGCTTTGTCACTCATTTTCTGTTCAGGCCTTGTACCTGACCATTTTCAAAGGAATGTTATTTTAATAACACCAATCCTAAATATTATCATCCTTAAATAATTTCTGGAAACTGGACAAGTGAAAGATAGTTTAAACGCCTGCTATTTTTTGTTTTATCTACAGTAAATGAATAGTATCTGAAAATCATGTCCTTAACAAATAGGGGGGGAAAAATCAGCAAAGAATTGATAGAGGAGCTGAGAGATACATCTGGGACCTCGACCTACTACGTCATCTGTGTCATTAGAAATGAAAATGATCTCAGTGGAAGAGTAGCTATCAAAAAGCATTTCTTAAGGGAAGAGAACAAGGAGAAAAGGCTGAGATATGCCAAATAACACAAGACCTGGACTTAAAAGTGGCAACAGGTCTGATCGAGGGATGAATCTAAATTTGAAGGTTTTGGTTCAAATTGTTAATGTGTACAGAAGAGGGCAGGAGAGAGGTACAGCTGTGAATATCCACAACCACCTATGAAACACAGTGGAGGCTCTGTCATGGTTGCTTCATTTCAGCCAGTGCTGATGGAGATATTGTCAAAATTGATGTAATTATGAACACTGAAAAGTACTGTCAGGTTTTTATCCACCATGCAATAGCAACTACAAAGCATTTGATTGGAAACAGCATACATTTTCAGCATGATAATGATGCAAATCACACTGCTGATGCAGTAGCGGCACATCTGGATAGAAAAACACACTGTTAGTCATGGACTGGCCTCCCCAGAGCCTTAAAGAAGCCTGGAACATTTCCTGAGGACTACTTAAAGAAATTACAGAAAGCTGCCTAGCCCTCAGCCTGCTTTGCTGTACATTTTATTTTCATTCTACAATGAGACTCCTTTTACAAAATAAGCATCTTTTTGCATTAAGTAAGACTTGACATTTTGACTGTCAAATTAGTAACCAAAAACCCAGTTTCGAAATGTTTACTGAGATCATAGATCAATTTAGAACTAGGATCTCTTCCTGTGCTGGCTATTTGTAAACAATGCTGCTGTGTCCAAGGGATTTTCCTAGTAGCTAATTTCCTAGTCAATTCAGTTATAAGTAGAATAATAAACTGGTCCAAAATGAAGAAAAATACAGAAAGCAGTTAAAATTGAGTGCAGTTGAATTCATGCATTCAATTCATGAGACATCAAATATTTTCTTTTCAAGCCTTTCACCATATTATTCATAACAAACTTGTATTTTAAATCCAGCTAAAACGTGTGGCTCAATCTTTAACTACATCTTTAACTACACTGCTACATCGTCATGTAGCAGTTAAAGATGTCCCAGCTTGCATAGACTGGTTCATTATCTTGCTCAAAGTACTGCAGAACCATGCTAATTGGTTAAGACGCTAATGTGCCAGCTATCCGAAAAACTAACTGGACTAAAGTTTCTCACTAAAAATTTCACAGAATGCTTGAAGGTACATGTTACTTAGTTGGCATTTTCAATGGAGCACAATGCCTCCTCGACTGAGAGTGCCATCGGTGTCAATGCCCTTTACAAGTTTAACAGCTCTTAATTTTTTCCATTTCCTCAGGCACAAATAATGCCCGACTGGCAGCCATGCTGCGGCAGCTGGCACAATATCATGCCAAAGATCCCAATAATCTCTTCATGGTCCGACTGGCTCAGGTGGGTGGCAAAACAAAAAGAACCCTGTACAAGACACAAATTAACTTTTGGAAAAGTGTGTGAGTGCGTGTGTGTTTGTGTGTATGCGCATGCCTTGCGTGTGTGTGTTAGAGTAATTATTGACTTTTTGCCGTGTTTGCCTCTGCAGGGTCTGACTCACCTGGGCAAAGGCACACTCACACTCTGTCCCTACCATAGCGACAGGCAGCTGATGAGTCAGGTTGCCGTGGCGGGACTGCTCACTGTGCTCGTCTCCTTCCTCGACGTCAAGAACAGTGAGTTAATTTTCTCCCACTCAGCTGCACACATCCATTATTAGTCAGTAATTTGAAAGTTCTTTTGAACCGAGAGTCTCCTGTGCTAACATCCCCTCGTGTCTTGTGTGCATTACAGTAATCCTGGGAAAATCTCACTACATTCTCTATGGCCTGGTAGCAGCCATGCAGCCACGTATGTTGGTCACATTCGATGAGGAACTCCGACCGCTGCCTGTGTCTGTTAGAGTTGGACAGGTAAAGCCTGGGATAACTTATTTGAGACAATTTAAGTCTGCAGAGCTTATTGACTCCATCTTTTCTCCCTAACACAAAGCACCACAGATAAAGTTTCAAACTGTGTTCAGAGAAAGATGAGATTACCTATCCTACTAACCCATGTAATTAATTCCCTCCTGAACAGGTTCTGCTGTCCTTTTTTTTTCTCTCTGAGAGTTGCTGAAAGCAAGAAGAACTTTAACAGCTCTTTTTCAGAGAAATAAAAATGTTTAAGAATAGAAGCGTGGTGGAGAATGGTATGTAATTTAATAGCCAAAAAATGGACATGGTTGTTTAACACAGTTTTCTCTGACCTGTCTACAGGCTGTGGATGTTGTGGGCCAGGCAGGTAAGCCTAAGGCCATCACAGGTTTCCAGACTCACACCACGCCAGTGTTGCTGGCTCATGGAGAAAGGGCAGAGCTGGCCACAGAGGAGTACCTGCCCGTCACGCCCATCCTGGAGGGCTTTGTCATCCTCCGCAAGAACCCTAACTATGAAACCTAGACTGCACCCGTCCTCACTGGCCTTTTCTCGTGTTTCTAAGGGTAGCCCTCCATGGCTCTTGGCAGTTGTTATAATTAGTTGTTCATTGCATGGCTGGAAAAGGGCTAGACAGGCCTGTCTTTCTTCATCTGTCGTCTGCAGCCCAGCTCTAGCAATCATTAAAAATGGATGGATAGGGTCTGGTTAATTGGACTGGTATACTGGGACCTCATCCTCTCTACATAAAGATGGTTTCCTCATTGCTCCAATTTTGATCCATCTCTCCCATATGTACTGAACCAGCTGTTTGACTGACCTGAGGCCAGTTTATAAAGTGGGACCTGTTCAACATCAGCAAATGAATGACTAAAATCCTGCAAAATCCTCATCAGTACTTCACATGTTTTCCCCGCCAACTATTAAATTCATTTTAATAAAAGCATTTAAAAGTGTGTATTCAGCATCACGATTTTCTTTTTGGTTTTTGTTACAGTACTGTACAAGGTTGAATCAGTAATAAAAACGTCGACCAGTTTGTGGAAATGCTGTGACTGTTTGTTTGTTTGTTTTTTTTAATTAAGAAGCAAAATATGTTTTATTTCTCTTGCTAAACCTATTCAAGCAGTTAACATGGCTTTGCTATTCAAGTGAGCATGTTAGCAGTAAAAATGAAGTTTATAGTTTTAATAGTTTATAGCTGCCACCTAAATTGCTTGGTTCAACTTTGAATTTCCAACTGCATCTCATTACACTTTAGTTGATCTATTAATCTTTGTTTTTAACAAGAATTGCCAAGCTTTTGCCACATTTTAAACGCTGAATATACTCAACGGTGTCTTTGCTATTTTGCTTTGATCTTCATATTATTATTTATAGTATTTATTCCATTTAAATGTCTTTCTTATTGCTATGTGATGCTAATAAAAGAGTAGCCATGATAATAGTTTGAACCAACTCAGGACGTCAGCCTACTATAGTCACTGAAAAAGCCAATGGATGCCTGTTACTCACAAGAAGAGTAGAGAAAACACTGGTGACTAAAGATTTTACATTATTGTTCAGAACATGATCACTGGGAAACTTTCACGTGATGGGATTTTGCCGGAATTACTAGGTACCGGCTTCCGGGAAGACTTTCCGTCCGTCCGGCTCCGCGGACTCAAGGAGAGAAAGGTAACGCCACAATCCTCAGCTAAATTCTTTATTAAAACGTTTAATATCTGAGATAAATGTTACGTCTCTGTTCTATGGAGACTCTGGTGGGACGTTCAGACCAACCTTTCACATTTTAGTGGGGTGATTTGGCTGTGTCCTGTGACTTTGTTGAGTGCTTTCTGCTGGATGGTGTTCCTGCTGTGTTTTTAGGGATTAGCTAGCTAGCTTGTCGCTAGCATTCCATGCTAACGCGACGTGGGTGTTCTTTCTTCATTTTAGCTTGTCCGGCTAGCAAGCTAGCATTTCGATAGACAGCCAAGTTGCTTACATGCCCGTTTGATTCGGGGACACACATTATGTTATGTGTACTATATCATATAAGATAAGTGATACACAGACTGTCGTGTCACAGTGCTGTTGTTTCGCCGGTAAACGTAAATTCTCCTGCTAGCTATTGAACCGTTTGTAGGCTAGCTACAAAGTAGCCTACATAAGATACGTGAGCAGCGAAACCACTTTTGGCTGGTGAAGGCGTGTTTTGCCGAAGTGCCAAGCTCCCGACTGAAAGTATTAGAACTCCTTTACACCTTTTTTGGCTGCCCGGCTTTACATAAAGAGATCACTGTAATCATTTAATGTATGTATTATAACATGCATACTGAGAGCTTGATACCTGAAACCATGTGATGGTGATTGGTGCCGGGTTGGGCAAGCATGTAAAGCTAATATAAAGATCTGGATGTATACATGGAGCAAGAGTCTTTTTCTTCATGAGCAAAACAAATGCTACAACTCCAATTCCAGGAATGAAGAGAAATTGGACAGTGTGTTTTGGAGCCTGAGTGGTTGAGTAGATGGATCACTGTGCTTTTAACTTGTCAACTGCAGTGGGAAATAAGCCACACGAGAATCTGGGATTTCCTCTCGGCATCCCCTGTACTGCACCGGTGTAAGCGTAGGTAGGTTGTCAGAACTGAGCGAGATGTTTGGCTGCAAAGTGAAACTGAGGTGTCTGACTCATTCGGGTTAGTTACAGTATCCATCACTGTCACGACACCACTGGCATCAGTGTCGCGCAGTTTATCCTCATATAGCTAAAGCTATAGCAGCTATTGAACCAACGAGCTAATAACCAGGAGCCACCTGCTCAGCTCGACCAGGTTAGTATTTCTCCTCCTTAGATCCGACCTGTGACACGCTTGTCTTCATTGCTGCTCCCTCTGCACGTTGTTGGACGTCTATGCTTTGTGCCGTACGTGAAATACATGGTTGTCATATGTGCTGTCGGCTGAGGTGTGGCTGGCGTGAAGCCGGCAGCTGGGCTGTGCATCGCGCCAGTAGCAGGAGAAACCACGTGGTAGATCGAGGTTGGGCCTAGGAAAGTTAGCAGCATGGCTAACTGCATAACATGCAGCAGCGGGTTTGTATTTGCAGATGTTTAGGGCAGCTTCTATTGTGCGTGAATATGCGTTTACTGTAAATAACACGGGAATAGATGCATTTGTCGTGTGTTTGGCGTACGCGTAAACACTGACACGCCCCTGTGTCAAAGCAAAAGTGTCTCACAGTTTGGACAGACCGTTGTCTTGACAAGCTTGGTGTAAATGTCTCTGCTGTATCTGTGTCATTCATATATATACATACATACATATATATATATGGTGGGGGTGGGGGGCAGTCAAACGCTGGTATTGGTGGTATGTTCACATTTAAACCTTTTGATGATCACTTCGTCTACTGCAGCAAACACGAGGCTGATGTTAAGGACTGCAACCATGTGACCTTATCTGGGAGTGTGGGTCCAAAATGGATGCTGTTTCTTATAGATGGCATACAGTCTATATAGCTAATACAGGCAGGTGTTTATTGTCTGTCTTGTCTCTATCAGTGAACATTCATATTTGATATGCAGTGGTTTCAGACAAGCTTTATTTGAAGGAAATGAATAAAACTCACAGCAGACAAACACATGGAGCCAGCTTCTCACAGTTTGCCTGACATAAGGATACTGCCGAGCATCCTGTTGTGAAATTTGAAAGCCTGGAGACTGGGCATGTGTGGGTTTTGGCAGATTGTTACCAGAGGAACATGGGGACAGGACCGAGAAGGGGAGGGAGGAGACAGGCTGTGCTGGCGTGATGCTGTGTCACTGCAGCTACGTTCTAATTGTATGTTCATCATTGTCAGAGTGGGATGCCTGCTTGTCACAGACTGTTGATGCTCAAATGGGATGATTATTGGTCAATGTCAACAGCGGAGTACAGACTGTAAAGTATTGTTTTGTTTGTTTCATCCATACTGTTTAATTCACTCCACTTCAGAAAAAAAAATGTCAGAGGAATTATTAACCAGGCTAAGAAAACAGTGACTTGAATGGAAATTTGTAATGTCTGATAAGATAAACTTGAAAAGTATGAGCAGGGTTAGAGCTTCAACAAAAAAAAGGAAGTGTAATAGTAAAAAGAGTGACGAGTAAGATTGAGGTGGTTTGGACATGTGTGCAGGAGGGATAGTGGATATACTGCACAAAGGATGTTGAATACAGAGCTGCCTGGCAGGAGGAAAAGAAGAAGATCTCAAAGGAGGATGGATGTAGTGGAAGAGGACCTGTTGCTGGTCAGTGTGACACATAGGGTAAGATGGAGGCAGATGATCTGCTGTGGCAACCCTTAAAAGGAGAAGCAGAAACAAGATGATGGTAAAAAGCTGTGAGCTTTCAATGGGGATTGTATAAATCAAGTTGTATTGAGCAGATTTGTGGAAAATGTGGTAATGCAGCTTTTCCTGTGGCTCCTAATCAAAAACTGTATTTAAAAAAAAATGGATGCAACTTCCTGGTCTGAAATGAAGCCAGTATGGAAGTGGTCTAAATCTGTATTCTTTCTAATGGCCAACACAGTGTGACTCCCATGTTTACGAAAGGGTCCATTTGAGAATTGTTTGTGAAAACATCCCTTTGCTTCCTTGCTCTATGACCTCTTTAAAGGCTTTCCTGTCAGTCACCATTTTATCAAATACAGAATTATGTTAATTTTATAAATTATGATTCTCATTAGAAAAACAGCAGTAGCATGTAATAAAGCATTAGGCAATGAGTGTGCAGTGTCCTTTGGTTTCCCGGTCAGGGAACCAGCATGGTTGTGGTTTGGTCGTTTGCTGTGGCTGCATCTATCTCAACACAGTCCTGAGGCTTTTCTAAATATATAAGCCTCTGCTTTGAGTGTTTCTCTTGTAAATGCCCCAACTTTATGTAAGTGCTATTTTAAATCTGTGGACTATCTCTGGGAGAAGCAGCACAGTACAGGAGGAAATCTGACGGAGTTTATTTCCTGTTACCTTTCTGCTTAGGTCAGTGAACTTGAATATTGACCTAATTTCTTCCAAGTGTGTTGGTCCTGTCTATAAATGACAGAACAAAAACACAACTTTGCAAAATGAGCATGTTGTTGTCCTTGCATACTGAATTAAAACTATAGTCGTCGAGCATTAAAGTGATCCAGCGAAGCCTACCACTGCTGGAGCTTTCTGAACTACGTTATCACAACAGACTACACAGTGCCACTGACTGTGACAGGTACAAACGTCCGGCCAATAAAATGTGTACAAAAGTTAAGTTACTAAGGTCATGTGCATTTGCAAATAGGCTTTGTGCAAAAGCCTGAGAGACGAGTGGTTTTGTTTATAGTATTTGCAGGCATGAAAAAGTGACTTGCATTCTTGTATCTTTGGTTGTTTTTTCCACCGCTGTCTTCCCCAGGCAGGAAAGTTTGTCTAGTTCTAAGTGCAGATGTGTTTTGTTTTTTTGTTTTTTGTTTTTTTTGGGGGGGGAGGGGGTGGTTATAGGTTCAGTTCAGTTCAGATTTACAGTAATGTCGCTCTGGGTAAAGGGAGTCTAAATCATGTGTGTTCAAACACAGACAGTGGTTACACCCTTTATAGGAGACATGACAGCCAACTTCACTAGCAGCAAACTTTGGTTACAGACAGCAGAAGCTTATGTAACTGTTGAAGGAGCATGTTTCCCCGTCAGTCGTGCTGGCTAAATTTCCACAGTGCTGCATGTCAGAGAAGCTCAAATGACTGGCCTGTGTGTTATAAGGGGATGGGGTGGGGTTCGGTGGCGGTGTGGATAACTTTCCTCTGCCCCCCCACCCCCACCCAAAAACAAAAAACCCACATTCCTGCAAGGAAGGTCGACCACTGGGATCTTTGCTTGTACAGTAGGCTATTCCCGGGTTTATTTTTGGTGCTTCAGATTTTAATATGTGAACACTAATTTCAGCAATTCATTACTGGATTATATACAATTTTAAGACATGCTGCTGAGCTCACTTGGCTGATGTTAGTGGACAGAAAGTGAGTCTGTTATAAACAGTGCAGTTTGTGTTTGCTGCTTGATTGGATCTTCTAAGTATCTACATATCCTTCCCTCTATCACATAACCCTTATCTGGAAGAAAAAGATATGTAGTTAAATTGCCAGTGGTAATTCAACATAATTAAAGAATTACATGTGCTGGTAGCAGCTGCTATGCTGTTAAAATCTGAATTTTATCATGCTACTGTTGCATACCCAGTGTATGTGACTTTCATGGGTTGGGTTGTAACAGTTTTGATTCAAACTGCAATACAGACCATGTTTCCCCCCATGGAGATCTTATTGCCTAGTTAAAATAGGATAGTCTGGTAAAAGCTACAATGTTATATTGTTAAGGAAATGGAGGACCAGAAATGCATCCAAATAACGGAATTTATTTTCTTCATGGTCATCTGATAAAGCTTGTTATTCGTTTTTCATGCAAAACGCAGAGGTATGAAGCGAGCTGTAGATTTGGAGAATGGCTATTTTCCTAGTCGTGTAATCTGTGTCTTTGTGCTTGTTGGTATAGACAGATAATTTCTGAACTGCTGTGAAACGTGTTCCTTGGAGTCTTGGAGTTGGATAATGTGGTTTACGACATTATCTGCAAATGCTCTTTCTGACATGGTGCATGTAGTGATAGTGTTAGACATGATGTTGGCAGAGCGTGTCAGGAAACAGGGCCGCTTGCTCACTATGATCTCACCAGACTTTTACCTGGACTTTCCTCACAACATCACAGTCTGAAATCAAATAGACCTTATACTGGAGAGATTTTGCCCTCTCACTCACACCTTTGTCTGGGGATGTGCTGAAAAGTTGAGGGCTGCTGCGCATGTGTGAAAACTGCTTCAGTGTGATGCAAAATGACTAATGACTAATGAGTTTTTTAGGCTCTCTTTTAGCCCTGAGATTGTTTACCTAGCATTTGGTTCAAGCCAGCCCAGCTAAGCCTAACAGTCTTTCTATGGATGAGCCTGTGAACTACCGCCTATCACCCTCCTGCATTCTTTCCTCACTTATACGGCTGCCTTCCTTAAAAGCTCTGCAGCTCCACTATGGTGTGAATAGTTCAATCAATGTCAGGGATTTCACCTGGCTGTATAGAAACCCTATTTGTTGAAATTGATTAGATTTATGTCCCCTTGCATTTATGTATTGTTATAGTCATAGAAACGGTGGTGATAACAGCTATTTGTTATTTCCTCTTTCTTAAAAAAAAACAAACATCCGGAATCATCATGACTCAGGCTTTTTATTCTGCTGCCTCAGAGTGTGAGTACTTGTGTATGTGTATCAGTAAAAAGAGTGTGTGTCAGTGACAGCGATAATGTAGTGTTTGGGCTATGAATACCAGATGTGTTTATTATTAGTGAAGACTATATAAGCTAGGGAGAAATCTTACTATGTATGACATACGGAGATGACCATTTAGTCAGCAGCGTGACTGTTTTGTTTGAGTGTATCATCATGTGGTGATCAGACTAAATGGAGAGCACATTTCAGAGACTGAGCAGTTGGAACAATAGACAATGGCAATCTGTTGTTGTACACAGAATTGTTCTGGTAGGTGTGAGCTGATTCATGCTCCCTGAATTTTAAAACAGTTCAACTTTGGTTAGCAGCATTGATCTAATACAGTAGATAAGTGTCAGTGCTGATAGTGGCGTCACTAAATGACCACTGTACAAATCTGCAAAAGTGTTTCTTTGTCATTAATATAAACTTATTCATTTGAAGAGTTTCTCCACTTATTTAGGATGCACCCAATCAATACCCCCCCCCCTTTTTTTTTTTCCTTCACAAATATTCTGCTGCTTTATCGGTATTGGGGATTCAGACAACTCACAAATACGTTTTGGGGGTTTTTTTTGGTCCACAAAACAAACCTCACAGTTTGGCCTATGGCTACTACACAGCTGGAAGCCCAATAGGGCTGTTGGGAGTCCATAGCGACAGGTTAGACGACTGCCGGTGGGGGGCGGGGGTGGGAAATTAGCACATTTTAACAGGGAACAGCGACACGCCATTGGTTGAATTCTTCTTGCTTACTACGTAAAGACTGCTGTTGTTGATAGCAGACAGTCAGGCAGTTTATTTCTCACTCCTAGCATGTTATCTTAAACATATGCAGTGTCTAAGGTACTTACTACACGGATGTCCGCGCAACTGTTCAAGGTAAAACTGTAGTGGGTCATTGCATTTACCTGTTTTTAATTGTTGTAACTGTCAAGATTATCATTATATGCGTATTTAATGCTAATACTAAAGAAGGAGCTAGCTAAAACGATATATTAGCGTACTTAGCGGTGGTTCAGTGGGGTTAATTTATCTTGCAACACAATGAGGTATAACACTTCAGGTTTAATGTAAACGAGTGCTCAAATTCAATTTACTGGCTATTGTTTTTCAATTATTATTTTTAATTTTTTTAAGTTAAGTTTTACGTAGCACTATGATTGAAATGTAACATGTTTTAAGTCAGAAAGCTATTGAACCATTCAGAAAACGTGTGCTGTTAAACAGAAAGTGCAGGGAAGACAATGTTAGCTGGCTAGCTTTTAAAGGTAAAAACGGCTTCAGTGCTTTGTTAGCTCTGTTTCTTTGTCTTTATCTTTGAGTATCTCAGCCTTTGTACTTAAACCAAAACAAGAGATGTTTCATTGCAAATGTGCTGGTGGTGATAAATACTTTATAATTACATAAGTGTGGAATTGGATATTGTAGACTTTGTATATTTTTCCAGCCTGTTTGTAAGGCAGCTGTTTAAAAAGTAGTGTCTATAAAGTTTAAAATGTGATGCAAGCTGATATGTGGTCATTGTAAACAAGGTTTTTCTTTCTCTTTGACTTTTAGGGAAAAAAAATACCCAGTGTAACGACACTTGGACCTTAAAGGATTTATAAATGTAAGTCTAGTGAAGGCTCTCACTTTTTTATGTAAGACTTCAGTTAAACTGCAACTGCTATCCACTTTAATACACTGTGTAATCCACAGTGTTACCATTGTGACCTTTGAAATGGCAGGTAATATAATCACCAAAGACCAGTTTAACCCTTTGGTCATTTCTTTTTTCAGACTTGTACACAGGTCCACATCTGCCTCCCCATGCAGAGCTCCATGAAATGAATAAAGCACCACAGCCTATAACGGGACCCCCAACCACTCCCCACCCTGCCCCTTCCCCCGGCCTTTCACAGGTAAGATGCAGCGTTACTTAACTCTGCATATTGGCTCTACAAGGGTGTGGTTTTCTTTCTCACTGTGTATTCTAAGAGCCAGGGAAGTCGTTGAAGTGCTTTGTGAAGATAATGAAAAGTAGATCACTCAACAATAGAGGTTCTCTGATAGAGGACAGCTGCAGCAGACACAAGTCTTGTGTTTTTTGACAATACTGTGGAAAGTCCCACAGCAGTTGATGTCCTCCATAGTAATTAACTGGAATGATGTCTATGACTGTCTTTTTCAGATCATGCTAACCTCTAACGTGGGCGAAAACTTGAATATTATAACTGGACTCCAGTTGGAGTCGAGCCACAGATTCATAAACACACTATGAGCTTATTATTATTATCTTGCCATCATATTGTCAGGGGCCAGAATAGCCTGCAGCATCTTTGTAACTATCCAGCTAAGCACTGTTATTTTTAATTGTGATTTTATTTATTTTGGTGTTTGTGTGTTTTTTACTTTGTCTCAAAAATAGCTATAAAGTACTTACTTGCCGGTTGTCTACACCCCATAAACATAAATCGGAAAAGATGTCTGTAATATAAACAGTAAAGCCTTTACACAGTTGTGGGACTCTAGGGCCTCACCTTTTTGGCTCTCTTAACGCTCTTCTGCTGTTGTTCTCACTTCCTGTCTTCTGCAGCCCTCATTCCCCCCTGGGCAGCCCCCGTCTGTAGTGTTTGCCACCCAACCTCCACAAATGAACCCAACACCACAACCCCGACAGGTAGGCTTGCTCACTCCTCAGAAACGACTGTTCCATCAGGGAAAATATTATCTAGTCAGAAGCATGACAATTTACAAATTGGATTCATTGCTTTCCACACAAGTTCATTTTTGTGGTGCAATGCAAATATTTTTGTTTATTTCTAACTTGCATCTGATCAGTCCAGACAAACCACGCAGGGTAAAAATGCTATTGTGCAGTTTTGCAAAACTTCTACTCACTGGCACTATCCTAAACGTATAGGGTTCTTAGAACGCCTGCATGTCTGTTTGCAAACTTTCCTCCAGCTCTGCGAAATGTAAACGGTCACTGTGGTCTTCATTACATGTCTTATGAAGTATTGGAGCTTAATCTACATGATCTAAATTCTTTTGTTTCTTACTGCCCCTGATTGATTTGAGTAAATGCAATCAGCTTAAAGGCAGCTTGATTAATACATTAATATCAGATCTGTAATATTTTGTATGTAGCCTTGTAAAAAAGTTTAATAATTTAAAAAAAATATAGGGCAAGTTAAGAAAAAGCTCATGCTATGACAGCCATTTTCATATGATGAGCTCCAGTTGGAAACGTACAGAACTGAAATAACCTGTTAGTGGGGAGTGAAGCATGGAGTTTGAGCTTTTGTCTTTAATCTCTGTCCTGTCTGCCTCTCCTCCTCTAGTTTGCCCCCGGGCCCCGGCCTATACATCAACAGGTACTAACAGCACAGCTGACTAACTTGAGGATGGGAGGGGGATTTCTACCATTTTAATGCATGTGAGAAGCAGTGGAGAAGGCCAAGATTTCAGGAATAAAATGACCACAAACTGGTGGTTCCTGATTCAGAGACTACATGATAATATTTTTAGCATTTTATGTTTGTGTAATTAACATTGCCCAATAATGCAAAATTAACTTGATGATAACTGAAGTTAATGTTTTAAGTAAATATTGAATTTACTGTGATAAAGGTTAAATTGCATTTGGGTTATGCTTTATAATAAAATGCATAAATGTTGCTCCAACATTTCAGAAATGCAGCTAGGCCTGATTCACTGTTGTGCCTTTTATCTGCATGCTGCTTGTTAATTCACTGCTTAGCTAAGATTTGGTGGTTTCTGGGCGCTTTCTTCTAACTGATTGTCATGCCTTCCTTTTCTCACTCTTTCTCTTCCCACCTTCTTCTTGCTTCTATTGAATGTGTGTCTGTGTGTGATCTGTGCTTGTGCTGCTGAAGGGAAGCTTCAGATCGCTACAGGTAACTCAGGTTTTCTCTTTCCTCACAGTTTTTCCCTCCACTTTTCCCTTCTTTCACCCTCTGGAGGAGTGCATATGTGTGAGCCTAATATTTGGCAGTGTTGTGCTTTGTTGGCTTGGTGTCATTTTTCTGGCTACAGCAGTTAGCTCCCAGGCCAGCAGCAGAATGTCAATGAGGAGGCTCTGAATGAACCAGCATTAGCTGCTTTATCTCTGCTGGCAGACAGGGCCAATATGTTTCCAGTTGGAGTCGAGCCACAGATTCACAAACACACTGTGAGCTTATTATTAGGCTGAACAAGCTAGTTTCCCTGGGTCCAAGAGATAAAATAATGCAAAGGGCATTTATTCATGTCAGAGGTTTCAGAGAGGTAGCAAATGGTCCTGTTTTGTTTTTCTTTCTTCTCTGTGGTCCATCACACCATATTTCTTCTTGTCTTTTTCACAACCCACACTTGCTTCACCTTTGCTTTTCTACTATCTTCTTAGCCCTACTACCCCAACAGACCCAACCTGCCTCCCAGCAGTGGGCCAAGAGGTATCCCACCCAGCAGTGCTCCTCGGCCTGTGACCCCCACCCACGTCTACCAGGCAGGCCCTGGCTCCCAAATGATGATGATCCCCCAGCAACAGTTGCCCTTTCCCAGTTCGCCACAGGGACCTGCCTACATCATACAGTCACAGGTAGTGGGCACAACTTGTGTGTGTGTGGTTTTTTGTTTTGTTTGTTTGTTTTTGTTTCTGCTAGAGGTTTTCATTGTATTGTATTGTAGGGTCTATATCTTACAATATAAAGCTCATTGAGGCAACTGTTGTGATTTCGTGGTGCTATAAAAATAAGATTGAATTAAATTGAAAATATAGGTTTGTTAGCTCTATTAAAAATGCATTAATTTTTTATTTAGATAAATTTTGTAACCCTGCATCCACAAAATGAGGCTTAGTGACTCAAACTGCTCAAAGTGGTTAATGGTGCAGAGGCATTTGTAATTTTGTTGCAGAAATTACCAGGATTTCTACTTTGATTACTCAGAAAATGTGGTCTGGTCTTCTTATCCAAATGTGTGAAAATGTGCCGGTGTCTGGAGTACCAATATGTCACAGTCCTGAGAAAAGCACCTGAATGTATTGATTTCACCTTATTGCATAGCCACTATGTATGTAGTAGTATGTAGTAGTTCCTCCTCAACATACCACCAGAGTTTTGAAGCTGTGTTTCACATAGTTTAATCGAGCCACATAGTAACACAAATGGGTGAAGGGTGTCCCATTTCACAAAAAATAGAAAGCAAGTGCACAAATGCAAAAAAAAAAAAAAAGGAACAGGAAAATGTAGCAACATTACAACGGTAATGGATTGCTTATTTGGAGAAGTAACAAAAAAGCAGATTACTTTTTTCATTACATTAGTTTTGCAATTCAGATCCTAATGAAGTCTTCTGCAAGGAAACAAGAAAATTGTATTACACACCACAGTCTCCCTCCCAACTGTAAAGCATCATGGAGGGATCCTTATGGTTTGAGGCTGCTTGTAGTCACTGAGGGAACAACAAACCAAAGACTGAAGGCAGAATTCTTTATAGTTTTTATAATATTCAAGTTTTAGCCCATGTTAGAGGTTGGCATAAAATCCTTGTAATTCCAAAGTGTTCACATTTTTCATTTGCTTCTACAACTTTAATGATCTATATCTGTATCTAATGATGTTTTGTTTTGTTTTTCTCCATTTATCTTCTCTTCTATCTTCCACCCGCTCTCTGGTTTGCCTCCTCAGTACCGGTCACCAACCTACGTTCCCACACCTCAGCAGTTCCCAGTCCCAACAGGCACCCCAGGCTATTACCCAGGCACAAGCCCTGCAGAATATGGTACTTACGGTAAGAGGTTTTACCTGGAGTCTCATTTGTGCCACTCACCTAGCACCATTCTTACACTTGGCAAACTAAATTAGTTGGAGAGAAAAACAATTATGAAGATCGATGGTACACTTTGTAATGAAACGCAAGGACAAGTTGCAACAAAATTTAAATAGGAAGGGTGAGAGGCGAGGAAAATGTCAAATGAAAAAAAACACCACCCAAAAGAATAAATTTTATTTATAGGTGCCTTTCAACATACTCAAGGAGCCCTTAGAAGCAATTAAACAAAAGTATATCTTAAGTATAGATAAAATAACTGTAGGAAAACACCATATAGTAAAAAGTTAATACGTCTTAAACTAAAATCAAACGGAATAGAGAAGCTTAAAAAGATGTGTTTAAAGACTGACTTTAAAGATGGTAAGACTGTCAGAGTAGTGACTGTGCCGTGGGCAAGACTTTGAAAGACGCGGGGCTACTTGGCTGAAACAAACAGCTGTTATAGTAAGAGCAACATAGGAGGAGCATCTCAGTTTGGGAAAGAGTGGCAATGTGAAGAAGTTGGAGAGAGATGGGAGTGCAAGATTATCAAAAGACTTGAAAGTAAGAAGCAGAATCTTAAAAATTAATGCAACATTTTACAGGAAGCCAGTGAGCTGTGTAACATGTCATTAAATCCTCAGTAGTTGCTCACATATTGCACAGTGATCAGCCTTTAGTTGAAGTCTTCTTTGTTGTTGGTTTGTTTTTTTTTGGGGTTTTTTTTAGGAATTCTGACTTGTTACTCTTTCAGTGTTTGTCTTCATGTAAGTGTTTACAAGAAAATAACCGTCTTCCCTTAATAAACTACACGCTTCTGAGATTTCTAATAATTACATTAATCTTGTCCCCTGCCCCCCACTCATTATTTATGCATCTCTTTGTGCGAGACACTTCTGGCTAACATGAAATGAGATTGAACAGGAGTGGAGTATAAGGTGTTATAAAAAGCAGTGACAATTTTACAGACCGTGAGAGCGAGAATAATCAGGAAAGATGACCTTCTCTCAGCCAGCATGGACCATATGACCTTAATGAATAGCAGTTACAACTCGCACTGTGCTCCTATTGATGGGTGTGGCTGCATTCCCCAAAAAGTTTAAAGTTGCTGACTATTCGTGTCAAAGTGGTTATGTACAAATGGGCCCACAACAGCATCCTTAGAAATCTGCACTTAGCAATAGAAGTAAAATTTATGTACATCACAGTATAAAAGCTTTCAATGATTATATTTAATACACACAAAAGTGTCTTCATTTTACATTTACTCATAGTCATTTGGTTCCACATCAACTGAGTATAGCTGCAACAGACACATTTATTGCTGATCATATGTGCTGTGCCTCCATCTAGTGGTAACTGTGTGTCATTGGACCATAAAACCTAGTGATGCCCTGAAACAAACTTGCTGACCTCCTCCTACCAGGCATTTGAACTATGTGTTGTCTTTGTTGAACTGAATGCAGAGGCCTCAATGCAGACCTGTAAAAACACAATCCTTCCTATGAGACTGCTCATAGGAAGGATTCCACTATTTGCTCTTGAATGTGGAGTATGTGTGTGTTGGGTTGTGCATGGGACAGTTAAACTGTATAGGGCTGAAGGTCTGGTGGACTTGTGCATTAATTTATGGTAAATTCACATGTTTGGCATATATAAATGTATATTTTCAGATATTTTGCAGTTCCTTTCTGAACAGCAGTCTGTGTGCGTTTGACTGAAGGCATATTTATACCCACCACTGTAACCCTCACAAAACAAACAAACACACTCTGAAAATGGTGTTACAAATGCTATTGCGAGCTGCTCTTTGGTGTCATTTTGGCCAGTCGTGGACCTGTTCACTTTTGTAGCCTGGCACACTGTGTTGGAATGTATAATCATATTGGTTTTTTTCCACTGATATCATAACAAGGGCTCAGATCATTCCAGATTACACAGAAGGAGCTGTTGTAAAGGCATGAAAAGCAGAGACTTTCTGGAGAAACTTTTGGTAACACACACTCTGCAAGTGTGGCGCACCCTTGGCATTAGGGATGGGTATTGAAACCCGGTTCTTGTTGAGAACCGGTTCCCAATGTTTCAAATCCTTGGAATTGTTTGGCATTTTTGCAAACGATTCCCTTATCGATTCCAGTCGCCCTGAATGACGGCACCACGTTGCGGAGCGTCATTTACCTGGCAGGAAACACGGCGCCTAAGCGGCTTATACGCTCAAAAGTTTGGTTATAATTTACGAGAACGGATGACAACAGGGCAACTTGCAATACTTACAACGTAATATTTATTATTTAAGAGAGGAAACACTACGAATATGCAAAAGCATTTGGTCACAAAACACACGATAACCTTAAATGAATGTCGTGTTTTTTAATTCCGCTCCGGACTCGTGAATCTCAACCCAGCAGCGGCGGTAACGTTTGCACGTCCTCTCCCGTTAATGCCTCAGGTAAATAATCAACTAACAGTGCATATTATGTTAGCGCGATCTTCCTTATTACAAAACCTGCCATTACTGTGCGTTTAGGTGACCATGATGAGAGAGACAGACAAAGTCTGACTGGCTCAGATGCTGGCAGTTCTCACTGCAGTTTACCGGTAGCATCTCCTTTCAGGCCAGGATAGACGAATGTCACCGAGCAGTGACTAAGTTTGTGGTAAAAGGTTTGCACCCATTTGCCACAGCAGATGCCCCGATTTTCAGTAAGTGAATGTGTTTAATTGTAGGCAGGGACATTACTGGATATTCTTGTGTAATTGCTACAGAATAATTTATGTTATACTTTGTTATTGCTACAGGAGAATATTTCTTTTATTATTTTACATTTACAATTTTTTTTTCCCTGGGGACCCATTGAAGAGCTGTAGGCTGTGGATCTCTTAAGATCTCACTGTTGGGTTTGTAAGGCCATGTTACTCCTAAATTTCTATCTTGTTCAAAGAGAAGATATAAAACAAAGTTCTAAGCTAATCAACCTTAGTGTTCTCCTTTTTTAAAAAGAATCGATAAGAGAATCGATAAAGGATCGAATCGTTAAACAGAATCGAAAATGGAATCAGAATTGTGAAAATCTTATCAATACCCATCCCTACTTGGCATCACTATAAATTATGGCGGGACAGTGGTCTTGTCACATTTGGTGTGTGATACAACCAGTGCAGTGACCATAAACAGGCCATTACGTTCATGTCTTTGCTTATAAGAGAAGTCAGTGTGGAAAATGTGCCAGTGTTATTTATTCTGTGTGAGTTTTGCTACTGTTAACATGCATTTTCAGGATAAGATCTTTTTAGTATGAGTGGCCTTCAATGGTTAGATTTGTTTTATGGACAGTTTGTACACATTGGCCTAACAAGCAAACAATCCCTTGATCAGTTCTGGTAGTAGGCACACATACCTTTGGGGTTTTGTCCCCCTTTTGATTAAAGGAGCAATCCAAAGTAACTTTACTGGTCATGAGAAAAATTTAATCAGGAGAATACACTAATCTCAAACTTCAGATTACAGACAAGAGAATGAATTCTAGTGTCCGTTCAGGATTTAACATGTCGATGTAGTCTTGGATGATATCAGCAAGTTCAAACATATTCTTATAGTTTAACTGTATTCCTACGCCTCCCTGTGTCAATGGTAGCACAGGGTGGTGTAGCAGGTTTTTGTATTGCCTGACAACAAGAAAACTGAGTCAAAACCTCCTGGCCAACCAGAGGCTTTCTGTGTGAGGCTTCCATGTTCTCCAAGATTTCAAGATTCTTTATTTGTGACGTGCATGGTTATACAGGTATAACACGCAGTGAAATGTGACCTGATACGCTCCCCAACTGTGCAAAAAAAAGACAGACAGACCTTTATATACAGTGAATGAGTATATACAAGGTTTACACATGGGTTTTCTTCAGGTTCTCTGGCTTCGTCTTGGATAATTAGGAATTCTGAAGATACTATAGGTGGGGATGTTAACATGTTAGCATAATTGTGTTTTGTGTTTGCCCTGTGGACTCGTAACCTCTTCAGAACCTCCCTAATCACACACATCAAAGGCCTATACAGCTTCTATAGCAGCTCTTCTATAGAGATTGATAGACCACGTGACTTTCGCGCATTGCATGCCGGGAACTCGTAGCAAAACAATCCAAGTACCGCATCAAATGCAAGCATTTGCAGCACCGCAAAACGTTCATTCTCCGGTTCCAATACCTTCTTGCTTTTTCTTTGTCCCCCAAAAAAGTTATGTACAAAACGAAGGAGAACGATGCCGGTCCGTACAAAGACAGACTTGATGAAAAGGCAAAGAAAAGATACGAGGAAAAAATCAAAGGAGTGAAAGGGTTAGACCCTTACAAGCACACAGAGTGGACAAAATACGTTAGCGTATAATACGCAAACTACACTCATATTTATAATTATACGGTTCTTGGAGTGAGTGCATACACTCATGAAGTTCAGTAACTTCAGGTCACTGCAACAAGCCCAGGTACAGTTTACCGACGGATGGGTACAGGACC